ACTTAAACAACGATCGCGTAAATAGAAACAGCGCGCTTGCCCATATGAGTCCATTTTTAGATAACGACGGGATTCTCAGGGTGGGCGGCAGGTTGCAGAGATCCGCTATTAATCATGACAAAAAACATCCGATTTTGCTGCCGGCAAGATGTCGATTTGTTGAATTATTATTTGAACGGGAACATTGTCGTATGCTACATGCCGGTCCACAAGCTTTATTTTCTTCAATTCGGGAAAGATTTTGGCCTTTGAACGGCCGCAACACTGCTCGTAGAATAACAAGGAGATGCGTAACGTGTTTCAGGGTTAAGCCAAGGTTGTCAGATCAAATAATGGGACCGTTGCCACCTGATAGGGTTACCGCTTGTCAACGAGTATTTTCGATAGTAGGAATTGATTACGCTGGCCCTATTGTTACAGTTGCGAATAAGGGCCGAGGACAAAGAAGTCGCAAATCATATATTGCGTATGCTTTTCGTATGCTTTTCGACTAAAGCGGTTCATTTAGAAGCCGTCAGTGAGTTGACATCGAGTGCGTTCTTGGCTGCATTGCGCCGCTTTGTGAGCAGACGAGGTTATCCGCAAAAAATTTATAACGACAATGCCACTAATTTCGTCGGCGCAAAAAGAGAGCTTGAGGAATTGTATCGGACAATCAGAACATTTTCCAAATCGATAGAGGAATATTGTACATCTCAAAGCATAGAATGGAAATTTATTCCCCCCCATGCGCCTCACATGGGTGATATTTGGGAAGCAGGAATAAAATCGTGTAAATACCATTTAAAGAGAGTTATTGGCGAAATGCGACTCGTTTTCGAGGAATTTATGACGGTTTTAGCTCAAATTGAAGCTTGCTTAAATTCAAGACCGCTATGTCAATTGTCCTCTGATCCTAACGACTTACAGGCTTTGACGCCCACACATTTTTTAATAGGGGGACCGCTCATTAGTCTGCCAGATATCAATGTATTAGACGTCCCTATTAACAGACTTGACAGATGGCAATTGACTCAGCGTATAACTCAACATTTTTGGAAGCGATGGAGTGTCGAATACTTAACGTCATTGCAAGGCAAATGCAAATGGACGATCGAAAGAGAAAATCTAGCTGTTAATGACATAGTCTTAATTGTAAGCGACAACATGTCACCCTTGCAGTGGAAACTTGGCAGAATAATCGAACTTCATTCGGGAGTTGATAAAAGGGTTCGCGTGTTAACTATTCAAACCGAAAATAATGTTATCAAGCGTCCAGTCACTAAAATTTGTAAATTGTCTATCGATGAAAAATAAAATTAATCAGGATTAATTGGTGGGCGGGATGTTGGTGACTAAATAATACAAATATAAATTTAATCTGTAACTGTTGCTCCGAATTGTGAGCGAACTCGACATGTATTACAAATCGATATACTTGCGAGCGAGATAACAAATGAGAGACCACGACATATCATTTGTTTATTAGGTAGGGTAATATTTGATATTATATAAATAGACAAACGTGCGAAAAGAAGGAAGTCGAGATTGAGTAAGCGAACTAAGCAAATTGTAATAATACGCAAATAAAGACTTTAGTTGGAGAAAACGATTCGAGTATCTAATACAAGCCCGTACATATATAA